AGACCCGGAAACACAACAAATCAAAGAAAGGCTGGACAAATGGGATTGTATAAGGTTGCAGAGCTTCTGCAGGGCAAATGACATAGCTAGCAAGATCAATAGAAAGCCCACGGACTGGGAGAAGATCTTTACTAGCCATACAACGGACAAGGGTCTCATATCTAAAATATACTTGGAACTCAAAAAATTAAACCACCCAACAACAAATCCTCAAAGAAACAACTGCCCAATAAGTAAGTGGGCGAAAGACTTAAAGAGAAGCTTCTCTGAAGAAGAAAGAAGGATGGCCAATAGACACATGAAGAAATGTTCAACATCCCTAGCCATAAAAGAAATGCAAATCAAAACAACATTGAGATATCACCTCACTCCAGTTAGAACAGCAAAAATCAAGAACTCTAACAACAACAGATGCTGGAGGGGATGTGGACAGAAAGGAACCTTACTTCATTGTTGGTGGGAATGTAAACTTGTTCAACCACTTTGGAAAGCAGTATGGAGGTTCCTCAAAAGACTCCACATAGAGCTCCCCAATGACCCAGCAATCCCACTTTTGGGCATTTACCCAAATGATCACAAACAAGGCCACACTAAAGCTACCAGCACAACTATGTTTATTGCAGCATTATTTACCATAGCTAAGACATGGAACCAACCCAGATGCCCCTCAGTAGATGAATGGATCAAGAAGATGTGGTATATATACACAATGGAATTCTATGCCTCCATCAGAAAGAATGACATTTCCCCATTTGTTAGGAAATGGAAAGGCTTGGAAAAAATTATATTAAGTGAAGTAAGCCAGGCCCAAAGAAACATAGGTCCCATGGTTTCCCTTATTTGCAATATCTAGTATAGGTATGAGTCAAGCGGAAAAAATCAGATAATGTGATGTTAGGAAAACGAAACCTCAAATATGTATTTTAATGTTTTTGTTTCTTTCATGCATGTGTTTCTAACGCATTTATTAGATTATCTCTTTGTTGCTTTGTATGTCCCTCCCCCACAGTGTAACCCCCGCTTTCACTATATTTGATGTCAGTATAACATGTGGAGGAGATGGGGACAAACAAGTCATTTAAGGATTCAGGTGGACCTATTGCAACAATGAGAAGTACAAAATGTCATGTCAAAACCAGCTTTACAATGGCGGTGGGGGGTGGGGGGTGGGGGGGTATGATTGGGTGGGAGGGAGGGGGGAGGCTGGGAAGGGAGGTGAAGGGTAAACAAAGGAGGAGGCTGCAATGCTTGGTAAGAAATGTATGCATTATCCTGCCCATGTAATTGTAACCCCTCTGTACAGTATGTTCTCAAATAAAATAAAATTAAATTAAAAAAAAAAAAAAGCCCAGGACCAGATGGATTCACAGCAGAATTCTATAAGACCTTTAAAGAAGAATTAATACCCATACTCCTCAAGCTCTTCAGAGAAACAGAGAAGGAGGGAGCTATCCCAAACTCATTCTACGAAGCCAATATCACACTCATCCCCAAACCAGGCAAAGACCCAACCAAAAAGGAGAATTACAGGCCAATTTCCTTGATGAACACAGATGCAAAGATCCTTAACAAGATTCTAGCTAACAGAATCCAGAAACACATAAAAAAAAATAATATACTATGATCAGGTAGGCTTCATCCCAGAGACACAGGGATGGTTTAACATACGTAAGTCAATAAATGTAATCCAGCATATCAACAGAGCCAAGGTCAAGAATCACATGATTATCGCCACAGATGCAGAAAAGGCCTTTGATAAAATTCAACATTCATTCATGCTAAAAGCTCTGGAGAAAATAGGAATAGAAGGAACATTTCTAAAAACAATAAAAGCCATTTATGACAGACCAATAGCCAATATTATACTTAATGGGGAAAAGCTACAACCAATCCTCCTAAAAACAGGAACAAGGCAAGGATGCCCACTGTCTCCACTCCTCTTCAACATAGTCCTAGAACCCTTAGCCAGGGCAATAAGGCAAGAAAAAGACATTAAAGGGATCCGCATAGGGAAAGAAGAAGTGAAACTATCCCTTTTTGCAGATGACATGATACTATACCTCCACGATCCCAAAAACTCCATCCCCAAACTTTTAGAAATCATAAGTCACTTCGGCAAAATAGCAGGATATAAAATAAACCCACAAAAATCAGTTGCCTTCCTATACACTGATAATGCACAGGAAGAGAGGGAAATAAAGGGAGCAACCCCATTCACAATAACCTCCCAAAAAATAAAATATTTAGGAATTAACCTAACCAAAGATGTAAAAGAACTATTTAATGAGAACTATAAAAAGTTAAAGAAAGAAATTGCAGAAGACACTAGGAAATGGAAAGACCTCCCATGCTCCTGGATAGGCCGACTTAATATAGTAAAGATGGTGATACTTCCAAAACTAATATACAAATTCAATGCAATTCCTATTAAAATCCCAATGACGTACATCACTGAAATACAGAAAACAGTCCAAAAATTTATATGGAACAACAAAAGACCTAGAATAGCCAAAACAATTCTAGGGGATAAAGACAATATGGGAGGGCTATCCATGCCGAACTTCAAACTCTACTACAGAGCTATAATCACAAAGACAGCATGGTACTGGCACAAAAACAGACCCGAAGACCAATGGAACAGAATAGAAGATCCAGATATAAATCCACAGGCCTACAGCCAGCTGATATTCGACAAAGGAGCCAAAGACATACAATGGAAGAAACACAGCCTCTTCAACCGCTGGTGCTGGGAAAACTGGGCAGCCACATGCAGAAAACTAAAAGTGGACCCCAGCCTATCACCATGCACCAACATCAACTCAAAATGGATTAAAGACCTTAACATTAAACCTGAATCTCTGAAACTACTGCAGGACAGAGTAGGAGAGACACTTGAACTAATAGGCACAGGAAGGAACTTCCTGAACAGAGTCCCAGGGTCACAACACGTTGGAGAGAGACTCGACAAATGGGACTACCTTAAAATAAAAAGCTTCTGCACAGCTAAATCTATCGCAACTAAGCTAGAAAGACAACCAACTAATTGGGAAAAAATATTTACCAGCAATATATCAGACAAGGGGTTAACATCCTGTATATACAGGGAACTCAAGAAACTAATCCCTCCCAAACCTAACAAACCAATTACTAAATGGGCAAGGGAACTAAAGAGGGACTTCTCAAATGAAGAAATAAAAATGGCAAAGAAACACATGAGGAAATGTTCATCATCCCTGGTGGTGAAGGAAATGCAAATAAAGACAACCCTGAGATACCACCTTACCCCAGTCAGAATGTCCCACATCCACAAATCAGCCAACGACAAATGCTGGAGGGGATGTGGAGAAAGAGGAACCCTATTACACTGCTGGTGGGAATGTACACTTATACAACCACTTTGGAAAGCAGTCTGGAGGGTCCTTAGAAAGCTAAAGATTGACCTCCCTTACGACCCAGTCATACCACTTCTAGGCATCTACCCTGAACAACAGGAACCAATATACAAGGACACGTGCACCTCCATGTTTATTGCAGCACTGTTCGCAATAGCTAGGATATGGAAACAACCTAGATGCCCCACCACAGATGAATGGATCCAAAAATTGTGGTATCTATACACAATGGAATCCCATTAGAAATGACAAAATAATGGCATTTGCAGGGAAATGGATGGAGCTAGAAGGAATCATGTTGAGCGAGGTAAGCCAAGAACGAAGAGACAAACGGTACATGGTCTCCCTGATAAGTGGATGCTAAATCCAAAAGGTTAGGTGATACAACAAAACTAACAGGACTTAAGAAACAAAGAACTCCCGCTCATCTGGTTGAACCACTACTAAATATCCCCATGCTGCTGATAACAAATATGGTATATAACATGTGAACACTGTTATATATTACAGACTGTGGTAGACAATTTGCTCCAGGGAAGTTAGAATGAACTTGTGACTTTGAAATTATGTAATCATTTAATCACAATCAAAAAAAAAAAGAACCTCGGGGAAGGGAGGGAGGGAGGGGATGGTAGGGGGAAAACAATGGAGGGGGTAACAATGTTCAAGAGGAAGTGTACTCATTACCTCACTCATGTAACTGTAACCCTCTGTATAGTAGCTTTACAATAAAAAAAAAAAAAAAAAGAAATGTACTCGTTATCTTGCCCATGTAATTGTAACTCCTCTGTATGGTATTCTCACAATTAAAAAAAAATAGATGAAGTCTGTAAGATTTGTGATGGAACACTGGCTCCAAAGGCCCTAGCAGTGCTTAACTATTCTAAGACTTAACTATTCTTAACTATTCTAAGACTGTGTAGGAAACAGAAAGCCATCTGAAGACTTGGAAGAGGCATTGTTTGAACACTTGGCCTATTACTGCCCCCGCACCCCTGCCCACCCAGTGAAAGTGTGAGGTTTAGATTAAGATGACCTCTGTCTAGCCCACTTTAACACTCTCACAATTGAATTCTATGATCAGCACCAGGACAGAAAAGCCTCAGCTGGATGCTGGTGGCTCATGGCTATAAGCCTAGCTACTCAGGAGTCTGAGAATCAAGGATAAAGGTTCAAACCCTAGCCGGGCGCTGGTGGCTCACGCCTGTAATCCTAGCTACTCAGGAGGCTGAGATCTGAGGATCGCGGTTCAAAGCCAGCCCGGGCAGGAGAGACCGTGAGACTCCTATCTCCAATAAACCACCAGAAAACTGGAAGTGGCGCTGTAGCTCAAGTGGTAGAGCGCTCGCCTTGAGCTGAAGAGCTGAGGGACAGCGCCCAGGCCCAGAGTTCAAGCCCCATGACCAACAACAACAAAAAAAAAGGTTCAAACCCAACTTGGGGAGAAGAGGCTCCATCTCCAAAATAACAAGGAAAAAATTGGGCCAGAGGCTTGGGTGGTAAAGCCAAATAAGTGCATAACCCTGAGTTCAAACTCTGATGGGGGTGGGGGGTTGGCGGGGACATGACAAGTCTCATACCCTTGCTAAAGAACATAGAAGCAACTCCTTACCACCATGATGGAGGAATATGACGAAATATTCTGTCTTTTCCCACTGTAGCTTTTCCTCTCACATTTTCTAGAACTTGCTTTGTAACAACTCTTTTGCCATTTACTAGCTGGCAACAAGTGGTAGTCTGTGGAAAGTTTCTCATTCCTCTGCTTACAAATGGCACACATGTCTCCGTGGTAAGGGGACTTGCTCTGGAACTTGAGGATACAAAGGTGGAAAACCCTGTATCTAATATGGAGATCACATCAAAGAAGGGGGAGTGGAATGTCCTGGGCCAACTCATGTGGCCAGTGGGAAAGCAGTCTCTTGTGAAGAGGTCTTCATCTTCCAAGTCATACCGGTAGAACCTGTGTGGATGCTCAAAGCACACTTCCTCCTCCCAGTGGCTTTTGCCTCTGCCACCACCTCTGCTTTCCCTCCTGGTGTAGTAGCTCTCTCGGGACCTGTCATAGTCCTCCCGTCTGCTGGCATCTGACAAGACCTGATAGGCTTCTACTACTTGTTTGAATTTCTCCTCTGCTGCCTGTTTGTTCTCTGGGTTCTTGTCTGGGTGTACTTGTAGAGCCAATAGGTGATAAGCTTTCTTGATTTCGGAAAAGGAAGCATTTTGAGGCACCCCTAGCACCTTGTAGTAATTCACCATCATTCTTCACACGACCTTTCCTCACCAAGACACAGGATATATTGCCTTTGAAAAGGAAGATGGTGAACGATTCAATTTACACCTCTGAATCTTATCACATGGCTCTTGGGGTGGTCTCTTCTAGGGGAGAAATTCCTCTTCACTGCATGAGTCCTTCACATACCCTGCCCAGACCCCCTTCCCTCTAACCCCACTGTGGGCAGAGTGACTATGACCTCAACATTCCAAACCTGTGACTCTTTGCTGATGCTGTGTCTGCTTTGCTTTCCTATTGGGAAATATGGAGAGAATATCCATATTGAAGAAGCTTTATTAAATAAACAAACTCTCATATAATAAGCAAAAACCTGCATGGCTTGTTAGCAGGGAGAAACCATTTGTGTGGCTTAAGTCTTTATCTGACTTTTTAGAACAACAATCACAAGCCAGACTGTGAGTCTTGTTTTTACATCAGACCTGGCATCCATTTAGACTGTGGTCAGAGCCCATGTTCTCCGTGACTTTGTGGGTATGGCACTGTGTTATGGTGGGTGATGAAGGGCTATATTATCCTTTTAAAATCTTATACACATTTCTGGTAGAGAAAAGAAGATAAACTCATTTCATCCAATGAGGAAATGGAGTCGCAGAGACTAATCTAGATAGATTTTTTTTTTAAGGATAGATGTAAGAAATGGGATCAGATGTGAGACTTTCCATGTATTGTCAGATAAGGCTTCTTCAGTTGATTGCTGATGTTAGCTTTTTTGAAATTTATCTCTATCCCTAAAGATTAAAGTAAGCAGCTGCAGCAACAAATGCCATTTATTTGTTTATTATTTATTTATTTTCTGGTCCTGGGCCCTGAACTCAGAACCTATGGGCTATCCCTGAACCTCTTTTGCTCAAGACTATTGCTCTATCACTTGAGCCACAGCTTTACTTCCTGCATTTTTAAATTCTTTTTTATTAATAAGTTTTTTTATTGTGAAAATACTGTACAGAGGTGTTACAATTACATGAGCAAGGTAATGAGTACATTTTTTTATAATATTTGAACTAAGTATTGAACTAAATATTTGGATTTTTCTTTTTTTTTTTTGGGTCCGGTCATGGGGCCTGAACTCTGGGCCTGGGCACTGTCCCTCAGCTCTTCAGCTCAAGGCTAGTGCCCTACCACTTGAGCCACAGCGCCACTTCTGGCTTTTTTCTTTTTGCTTATGTGGTGCTGAGGAATCGAACCCAGGGCCTCATGCATGCAAGGCAAGCGCTCTACCACTGAGCCACCTTCCCAGCCCTGGACTTTTCTTGAACAAATTGAACCATTATGTATATATGCCTGGCAATACATTTTATTTTTTTTTTTGTTATGGTGAAATGCATATAGCATGAATTACACCATCTTAACAATTTCTAGCTATACAGTAGCTTTAAGTATGTTAACCATGTTATATAATCACCACCATCATTTTCAAATACCATCAGAAGTTTATACTCATTAATTAATAATTCTTCCCTTTCCCCAGCTCCTGGCAACCTCTAATCTACCCTATTATTTCTGAATTTGCCTACTTTAAATATTTCCTATAAGTGGCATTGTATAATATGTGTTTGGCTCATTTCAAAGTTCATCCCCACTGTAGTATATATCAGAACTTCATTTCCTTCTACAGATGAATAACATTCCACTTTATGCATACACCAGCTTTGTTTATCTATTTACTTGTTCATGCATACATGGGTTGTTTCCAACTTTGATTATTCTGAATAATGTTGCAACGTGCGTTTTCACAAGTACGTGTATCGGTACCCCCTTTTTTCAATGATTTGGGGGTAGAATAGCTGACTCATATAGTAATTCTATGTTTTTGAAGAACTACCACACTGATTTCCACCATGTCAGCACAATGTAAAAAGCTTCCAATTATCTAAATTTTTGCTCCTTCATACTCTTTTGATCTCATCCCTCCCCATAGCCTCTGGGAATTTGCTTAACTAGCCTCAATTTCCTGTATTTTCAACCTATCTAATTCTTTTGGCCACTCTCCTGCATGCAAACAAATCTAGAAGTTTCATCCCTTAGATGGTATAACCCCTGTTTTCACTGTATACGATTCCAGTGCCCTGCATCTTGTATATACATTTTTCTAACTTGGGGAGGGGAAGGGAAATAACAAAATGCTTAAATAAGGATACAGGTTGACCCACTGTAACAATGAGATGTACAAGACACTATGTTGAAAACAAACCTTAAAACTTGGGGGGAGGGGAGAGTAGGGGAGGTGGGGAGGGAAGGGATGGTAGGGGAAAAACAAAGGAGGAGGTAAACAATACTCAATAGAAATGTGCTCATTACCTTACTCATGTAACTGTGACCCCTCTGTACAGTATCTTTACAATAAAATATATACAAAAATATATTATGAAACGTAAAAAAGGGGGCTTCACACTTAAATGACCCTGTGGTGTTTGCCTCTCCAGCACCTGTCTGCATTCCACTTCTTCACTGGAAGGGCAAGTTCCTTCCCCTCCCAACAGGCCTCTACTCCTCCCATCAACTCCATTGAAATTCCTCTGGCAAACTCACCATCACTCCGAGGCCTCACTGGATGTGACCTTTTTGAGTTATTTTGAACTTGTCAATTATTTCCTTCTGTCCCCTTCAGAGATTTCTATAAAACCTTTCATTACTGATAATTCCCTCTACTTCCTAGAGGGCTCTTTCATAGCTGAATATGCACGTTACATTTCCTTTCCTAACAATGAGAATCTTGATATTCCTGAGCCTTGGCTCCTTTCTCTTCCCTTTTTAGATGTCTCTCTCATTTATTCATTTACTCTTGTACTCCTGCCTATGGCTGGCCTCACTCTTCCTTTAGTTATTTGTCAGACAGATTCTCTTAGATGACTTCTATATAGACCCTTAGATTTAATCAAGTAAATTGCTACCACATACCTGTCTTTGTTTTATAGCTGTCCTAATTTCAAATAAGTGATTTAGGCAACAGTGGGGCACTTTTGTTTACTAATAATCTGCCCTATTTCATTAAAAAGAAATGAGGGGGCTGTGAAGGTGGCTCAGTGGTAGAGTGCTTGCCTTGCATTCCTGAGGCCCTGGGTTCGATTCCTCAGCACCACATAAGCAAAAAGAAAAAAGCCGGAAGTGGCGCTGTGGCTCAACTGGTAGAGCGCTAGCCTTGAGCTGAAGAGCTGAGGGACAGAGCCCAGGCCCAGAGTTCAGGCCCCACAACCAGACCCCCAAAAAATAAATAAAAAAAATTAAAAAAAGAAATAAAAACTTTTTTTCCTTAGTAGTTTTCTTTCCAATTTCTTTGGCTACTTTCTCCCTGTTAGCATTACCCATTTCCTATTTATTGTATTATTTTTCTAAAATTTTGTAGATTGATATAAAAAATGCTGGCATATTGGCTAGCTGATATGTCATATCCTCTATTCAATATTCAGCACTATAAAATATTTTAAATATTTCAGTAGCCTTCAATTGTTAAGAAAAATCAGACACCAAAGCACCAAGAATATTTTTAGTATAATTAGTAAAGTTAGAGTATTTAAAATTATTTCTAATATGTGAGGTTATAATTGGTCCAATTCAGAGCTGAATTTATGGTTTACTGTCAAATTTCACTGTAATATTTATATTCATAATTTTGTAATTTATTTTTCAAAGGCATGTTCTTTTTTTTTTTTTTTTGTCGGTCGTGGGGCTTGAACTCTGGGCCTGGGCGCTATCCCTCAGCTCTTCAGCTCAAGGCGAGCGCTCTACCACTTGAGCTACAGCACCACTTCCAGTTTTCTGGTGGTTTATTGGAGATAGGAGTCTCACGGTCTCTCCTGCCCGGGCTGGCTTTGAACCGCGATCCTCAGATCTTAGCCTCCGGAGTAGCTAGGATTACAGGCGTGAGCCACCAGCGCCCGGCTTAAAAGGCATGCTCTTAAGAGTGATAAAAACCTGAGTTTATTCCTTGTTCAAATTAGAACTGTGCATCTAGAATCACTGCAGTTGAATTCGATGGGGACATGCCCTCAGACACTGTGCTCATGGGGCTGATTCGCCACTCCATTTCAAGGTAGCTAGTGCTACCTGGAAATCTGTAACAATAAGAAATTTTGTTTACCTTTATTAAGCCAGTGAGTTCAGAAGTGTATCCAAAGTTAGCCTCAGGGTGCAAGCTGAAAATATACTCCAATCTTTGTGTTTCAAATAATGTCTTAACCAGTTGGGTATTTAGAGTAAAAATCTGTTCTTATTGTGGCTTGGTGTAAGTAAGGATGTAAGAAGAGTAAAATTAATCTGTTACCTTGAGTTCCGTATTATTTTGTGATGATACCCTGAGGGGAAAAGATCTAAGATATATTATTCCTAAAATAAAATCACTGATGTCAGTCACTCATAAATATGAGAAATCTTAACCATCTGACGGTAACTGAATAGCAGCTCTCTATATACCATCTTCTCTAGATATAGTCTAAGCTTGTGAGTCAGAAAGACAGATAAAGTGACTGCATCCAATGAAGACTGTCTTGTGACTTGCAATTAAGAGTCCAAGTTAAGTGGCACAGTTACTGTACTAGAATGCTGCACAATTTCTCAAGTGACAGCTAAAAGATGGCTTTACACCAGAAAAGGCTGCTTGGTTAGCTTTCAGACTCTGACAAAGTAAACATCCTAATTGTTCTTTCTGAGGAAGATGGAGGTACCTGGAAGCTACATTAGCCAAAATGGTCTTTCTTAAAAGCTCTTAGGAAAGAATTCCTGAGATGCCTTAGAGTCTTCAAAATCAGGGGCTTCATAGCTATGTTCAATAGCCAGCTGTTTATAATTATGTTTTCAAAACATCTTACTAACAAGAAAGGGGTAATAATGCTCAACAAGAAATATACTCATTGCCTTACTCATGTAACTGTAACCCCTCTGTACAGCATCTTTACACTAAAAGAAAAATTTAAAAAATGTTTACTGTCTCAAGTGGCTTTTGTGCCTTATACTAGGTCTGGGAAATACGCTTCATGAGGACCAGTTTTATGGTTTTCTTTTTTTAATCAGCTGTGATGCCTGAACTCTGGGCCTGGGCACTGTCCCTCAGCTCTTCAGCTCAAGGCTAGCGCTCTATCACTTGAGCCACAGCACTACTTCTGGCCTTTTCTGTTTATGTGGTGCTGACGAATCGAACCTAGGGCCTCATGCATGCAAGGCACTCTACCACTGAGCCACCTTTCCAGCCCAAGGACCAGTTTTTTTTTTTTTTACTCAGATCAGGAGCTTAAGCAATATCACTTGGTAGAAATCTGAGCTGTAGAAGGAAAAAAGTCCCCAGGATCATCCAGTGACTACAAAGAAAATAGAAGAAAATAAACCACCAGTCATTGCTTCTACTCATGCCCTTTAGTATAGCCTAAACATTCTGTCTGTTAGGAATCACTTGGGGGAACAGCTGCTGCAGCGCAGTGGCAGTGGGGAAGAGAGCTAGTAGTGCTGGAATCCTGGCCTTGTTAACAGATGCTTACAGGATATGGGGTTGAGGGGGAGCAAGCACAGAGCAATCCCAAAAGAACTACAGAAAGTACATTCTGTTTTCTGTTCTTTGCCCTGCTCCTGTCAAAGGGCTGCGGATAGCCTTCCCTGAGGTTTTTAAGATGTGATGTTTACTGTTTCTCAACTGCTGTGGTCTACAAGGGTCATGAGTTTAGACTGGAGACGGCCCATAGTCTTCATAGCTGGATATATTTGTGAGTGCTGACTGCTTTAGGGTCACTGCCACAAAGACTCTGGAGGTAAGACACTGATGGAGGATACAGGTTAGTGTAGTAGAGAATATGATCTTCAGTCCTTAAGAAAATCACAATAATTGCTTGCCCTACCAGCTGAAGCCTAGCCAGTGGTTCCCTCCTTGCCCCCAGTTCCTTTAATGGAAAGAGGGAAAGCAATAACATTTCAAAAGAAAGGATTGATTGCAGAGAATTCAAGGGAGACTCTTCACATACCCAAACACCCTTTGATGAGGAAGAAGGAACTTGAGCTTCTAGGCCTGCTTGCACAAGTTTAGTCTTCTGGGAATTCATTTGTCAAGCTCCCTTCTTGGCAGACCTAACATAGTAGCTTAAAAGATTTCTGAATGAAATGTTCTCTCTTGCATCCCAATGTCCTCAGTACCAAAATGAGGTCATCCTTGGGAGAAAGGGCTTATTGCTGGGCCAAGCTCAGAGCTGGGCAGTCTCATTTCTAAGGTCATGTGTAGATCTATAAAGCCCAGAATGTACACTGTCACTCAGTTTGGTTGTCTGCCTCAGAGCAAATGCACAAGTCCAAAAGGCTTTAGGGTATCTGGGAACCTGGCCAAGAGACCTTTTAGCTAAGCTAATTAAATAATATTCTACAATATTATTTAAATTTAATTTTCAAAGAGAGCTACTCAGTTGCAATGGCACAAATGGACATTATATCATTAAAAACCAAAGTTAAAATATGTTCCAGATGATCAGCCTCCACTTTCCAACTGGAGCTGTTTTTTTTTCTACCAGGATTTTGTTATTAAAAATCTTTAGACATGAAGAAAAATTATCAGAGTTTTATCATGAACACCCATAGTATTACCACCTATATTCTACAATTAATCTTTTCTACACTTTATCTACATGGTTATCTTGCTATTTAACTGTCAGTCTATACTGTTTGATGCATTTCAGTATACTTCCCCCTAAATACTTCAATTTTCATGGCATACTTTAATATTTTTATAGTTTTCTCCCTTTGAGGTAAATTTTATATTTATATTCATAAAATGAATATTAATAGGTTGATTATTAATCATTTGAATATATCAGTGTACATACATATAACTAATTCTTACAAAGACACAAAAATGTCATCATTACTGGAAAGTTCCTTCGTGTCCTTTCTCAGTTATTCTCCACCCACTATCCAGAGACAACTACTGATTTTTTTCTACTATTCATTTGTTCTAAAACTTCATCTAAATAGAATCATTCAAGCTAGGAAGATAATGTTACAATAATGGAGAATTTGAAGCCAGCCTGGATTACATAGTGAGACCATGTTTCTAAATACATACATACATACATACATACATACATACATACATGTATACTTACCATAAATAACTGAGAACATTAACTTAAACTTGCACTTCTAGCTACTAAGGAGGCAGAGATTAGAGGGATGACAGTTCAAGGCTGAAATCCCATTTCAGGCCATTAAAAAAAAAAAAAAAAAAAGCTTGGCATAGTGATACCTAACTGTCATCTCAGTTAGTGCAAAGTAAAAATAACAGGATCATGGTCCAGACTAGCCCTGGCATAAAAGCAAATGCTAGGAACATGGCTCAAGAGGTAAAGTGCTTTCCTAGCAAGCATAAGGCTCTGAGTTCAAATCCCAGTGTCATCAAAATATAAATAAATGGACCTATTCAGAATGAACTGTTATATAATGGTTCTTTCACTTAGTATGTCATTGACTCATCCAAACTATTATATAGTAGTTGATTCTTTTTTATTTTTGACTAGTTTTCCAAAATAGTAATATAACACATTTTGTACATTTGTCCCATTGATGTACACTGAGGCTTCCAATTTTCACAAGTACGATTTTTAAAAGCCATTAAGAACAGTTTTGAGCTGGACATGGGTGATTGATACCTGTAATCCTACTCAAGAGGCTGAGATCTGAAAATTGTGGTTCAAAGGCAGCCTGGGCAGGAACGTTCTTATGACCCTTATCTCCCAATTAACTACCAAAAAGCCAGAAGTGGAGCTGTGGCTCAAGTGGTAGAATGCTAGCAAATAAAGCTCGGGGATAATGCCCAGGCCCTAATTTCCAGCCCCAGGACCAGCACCAAAATTTTTAAAAAGAACAATTTTGTACAATTTTTGTATAGACATATGTTTTCCATTCCCTTGGGTAAACACCCAGGAGTGAAATTGCTGGATCATGGGCTAGATGTATCAGTGTTGATTTCACACTCCCACCAGCAAAGTAGGAAAGTTCTGGTTGCTACATATCACTGGGAACATTTGGCACTATCAGTCTTTCTAATTTTAGTTCTCCTGGTGGCTGTAAAGTGATTTAAGCTTTTATTCTGGCAAATCTTCCAAATAGCAAAGAAGAAAAAAAAACATAAATCTAGGGATCAAATTTAAAGAGTGAAGATATTGGAGTGTGTTGATATTAGAAAAGTTACTTTGTCCAAACTCAGGCCACAAAACCAATAGCTTGGCTGATACATATTGACTAGAATAAGCAATGGTTGAAGGGCTGTGGAACAAACACCCAGAAACATTCTTCAGTTTATAATTTTCTTAATTATATTATTACAATTCAAGGAAGCCTCCACTGATAAACAACTGGGGAAGGGGGGGGCAAAGTTGTCCAGGGTGGACTACAATTTCTTTCTCCCGTTTGCCTCCTCATGGTTAAACTACCATAAAGAACCATCCCTGCAGAGCTGGCTTAGTGGCATTCACAGAATCATGAATCACCCAATTGTTTCTTTCTCCCTCTTCCCAATACCAACCTTAGGCCTAAGAGAAAGGAACTGCATATCTTGTCATTTAAACTTCACAGCAACATCAATAGGTATCGATAATGTCATGTTATAGTTGGGAAACCAAGACTTGAAGGGTTACGGTCACTTGTTTGACATACAGAGAAACCAGAATTTGACTCTACTGCTGCTCTACTGTCCCCTGTTAAGATGTGGAAAACAAATTGCAGGAGTCTAAATCTTTCAGTGGTCACTGAGGCTAGTAGTAGAAGGTTCTACGCCTCTCATTCTCAGTCAGATTTGTCTTTCTCTGTTGTTTCTTTTTCTGATTTCTGTTTTCTAGCGTGTTTGTTCTAAAGGTAGAGTTAATTCCCTTCACCCCTGCATGTTGAGTCCTTGGGAAGATGAAGGTAGAACTGAGTTCTAATCCTCCCATCTGCAGCTGTGCTTTGCCTTAGGCCCAGTTTTCTTTCTTGCTTGTTGTTTATAAATATTTGAAGTTAAACTGTATTTGTATTACAAATATATTACAAAAATAGTTGAATCAGGATGTATAAACTTACTGAGTATGGAACAATTTTAACCATTTTTAAATTGTATGTTTATTATCTTTAAGTGGTTGTACAAAGGGGCTAGCATTCAACAAATAAGTTTATGGGGCAGAATTCAAAAGGTGTAATTCCTTAGAAAAACTATTACAGGCCTGAGAATGTGGCTTAGTGGTAGAGTTCTTGCTGAGCGTTCATGAAGCCCTGGGTTCTATTCTTTAATACCACATAAACAGAAAAAGCCAGAAGGGGTGCTGTGGCTCAAGCGGTAGAGTGTTAGCCTTGAGCAAAAGAAGCTCATAGACAGTGCCCAGGCCAGGAGTTCAAGCCCCAGGACTGGTAAACAAACAAACAAACAAAAAACTATTACAATACAAGCACTTGAAAGGCATGGGAAGAAGGCCAAGGGGGAGGGGGAGAGATGAAAGAAGAGGAAGGAGGGGAGAATGTTGTCATAGTATTCAATGCATATCCTATGAAACTAGGAAAATTGAGGGAGATGAATGAAAAGAGTGATTTCCATCCAGCTACATTTTCTTTTTGAGAGAAGGATCCGTGAGCCTGGCTTACTCCTCTGCAATATCTCAGAGCCTCATTGCCCTACCCCGGCTCTTTGGTCCTCTTTCTCCCTATTCCTTTCTATCCACCATGGAAAGAATGATGGCCATGATCATCATTTGTTTCTGTGGTCTGAGTTACCTGTTCCTGAAAAGCCCTAGCTTGCTCCTCAAATCCTGCTGTTCGGAAGTAGTTCACCACATCCATCACAGCCCAGTCTGCAGGATCAGGTGGTCTCCCATTTGCCATGGAACTGCAAAACAAAAATCCAAACAGTTGTCATGGCATTGGCTGGACACAGGTGTTGCTGGCTGCGCTACTATGTCTCCCAGGGCCAGCCTGGGCTAAGCTCACTGGGTCTGGCCTGCTCTCCTTCAGAGTCACCATTCTCAGTGTACTTCTAAAAGAGCTAAAAAAAATCATTCGTTTCCAGATTTATTTATTTTTATTGTATCACATTTTAAAAATTATACTTAAGTTGCTTTACAAAGGAACTGACACTTAGCAAAGCAGTTTATGAATACATCTGGATTGGTGTCACCCCTTTCAACATTCCCACCCATCCCTCGTGTCCTGCCTCTTCCTATACTTTTCTTAATTTTGTAGTATAAACGTTGGATTCTTGACTGCATTCCTGCCTCCTTCTCTTCTTCATTGGTCCACCCCTCTTCCCTGGGCCCCCACTTCCTACTCACCCCTTGCAAGTACCTATTTCTGGATTGTTTTGTTGGGCTTTGACTTTGCCTTTCTAAGGAATTTGAGTTCTCCCTTGAATCTATCTCCAAGTTTCTTATAATCATTACTCTCTCCGGCCTAGTCATTGCTTTCATAATAAACTATGTGGCCTACAATATAAATTATTTTACCAAGTACTATTTGTTAAAAGCAGAGACATTGAGAGTAACTGAAAGCTTGATATTCATGCTATAGCTTGCGTGAGTATTCATTTCATTCGAACCCACCTCCCTATTCTCAATTCTTGCCACCTTCCCCACTGTCAACCTCACATATCCAGAGCTAAATCCTTACCTCAATAGGTCATTCCTCTTGACAGATCTGCGCTTTTTCACCTTGTTTCACCCCCTTAGGATGCCTACCTCTCTTCCTGATGAAATTCTATTATGCCTACCAGTTCCAAGGCCATTTTTCACCTATGGCATTTTCCACAAAGGAAATGTTTCAGTGATAACCTTTTAAGAGTTCTAATGTTTATTCAAGAGTTCATTCAAATCCCCATTGTAGCACCAACCAAACTATGTTAAACTTTTATTCCTGGTGTCAAGAGGTATGCTACAATAATGGTTCCAGCTACAGCCAAATAGAAACAATGTGGAATCTGAGTCTTGAGTGAGCTAGAGGTACACATCTGGGGGACAGAGACATCAAGATAGCATTTAAAATCTTGAGAGGATAGGGAGAAAAATGGGCCTAGAATTAAGCTTGGACCTAGAATTTAACTTAGTGAAAATTGAAGAAATTCATGTTATTTTTAATTGAAAAAAAATCCCAGGCCTTCTTGAAGGTCTTCAAGTATCTCAAAGTCCAGGGTCTTGCTGTTTTACACCTAGCACAATAGTTTTCTTATAGCAGGAAGCTAAATACTTGATTAAGAGGTAACAATGCTTGATAAGAAATGTACTCATTACCTTGCCCATGTAATTGTAACTCCTCTGTACAGTATTTTCCCAATTAAAAACAAAAACAAAAACTGTATCCATTGGGACTTTGCTCACTGCTACAAGCAAACCAATTACAAAACCTAAAAAATTGTTAAAGTATTGCACTTCGAGACAAACATTCTCCAAGCCCACTTTCAACAGAAAAGAGGAGAGAAAATGATGCTTTGAAGAGGATCCCTAGTGTGAGCTTGTGGTTATTTATTTTTAATAAAATAATGAAAAATTCCAGCACTTTAAAAATAAACAAATAGGGCTAGGAATGTGGCTCAGTGGTAGAGTGCTTTCCTTGCATGCATGAGGACCCCGGTTCGATTCCTCAGCACCACATAAGCAGAAAAAGCCGGAAGTGGCACTATGTCTCAAGTGGTAGAGCGCTAGCCGTGAGCTGAAGAGCTGAGGGACAGTGCCCAGGCCCAGAGTTCAGGCCCCAAGGCCGGAATAAAAAAAAAAAACACTAAACAAATAATGTTGGACAATGATAGACTAAAAAGTGGGGGTATTCCTGCAACATATGCTCCTGATTAAATAGTAGGAAATGTGTATGTGTGCATGTGTACATGTACATGTATACATGGATATTTAGTCCTTAAAAATGCACTTAAGGGAACACTTAAGTCTTTTGGCTCTAACACTTTTAAGTATGAAATGAGCAACCACATGTGCCATTCATCAGCAGCAGCTTTTTTTTTTTTTTTTTTTAACAAAACTAGAAGTAGGTTTGTTTTTTCTTAATCAAGTATTTAGCTTCCTGCTATAAGAAAATTATTGTGCTAGGTGTGACACAGCAAGACCCTGGACTATGAGATACTTCAAATACAACAAAAGCAGGGGTTATACTGTAGGGGAGGAACACACAAAGCAACAAAGAGATCATCTTATAAATGTGTTAGAAACAATTGCAAGAAAGAAAACCATTTGAATACTTATCCAATGGATACAGTTTTAATGCCTGGAATGTATCTGAATTCACTTTCCTTCTGGTTGATGGTTGTTGTCAATTAGCTACCTCTCCTCTTAAAAAAAACAGTGAATCAATTATAATAATGAAGCACACTACATTGTGATATTAAGATGGGGCTTTTCCAATTCTTATTCTGTTGAGATTATTACATCATCACTTTCATAACTCTGGGCTTTTATTTTATACCAGCAGAGAATAAAGACTATGCAATCTGTTGGCAAGGTATCATGAAGAATAGCAAAGTAAATCTGGGTGCTCTCACATATGAAGAGTGGAAAAGTCATCCCAAATAAATTAGATGCTATTCATTATACATTTAATGACTGATCTAATTTTAAGCTTGATAGACTCCTCCCTCCCCAACCAATCAAACTGGTAGCACAACTGAGAGGTGACTGGTTCATGAGGACTTTGACTTCATCAATGGATTAATCCATTGACAAATAGATCATTTAATGGCATCACTGGGGGTGGTAGAAATGAGGAGGTAAGTCCTAATTGGAGGTAATAAGCCACTGGAGGTTTGTCCTAGAAAGAAACATGGTCCTGGCTCTTTCTTGGCTTTGCTTCCAAGCCAGCATGAGTTGATTTGCTCACCTCTGCTGCATGCTCCTGCCACCATGATATACTGCCTCACACCAGGCCCACAGTAATAGAGCCAGCACACTATGGACCAAGAATTTTGAAAACCTGAGGCAAAATAAACACTAATTTAAATTGTTTTTCTTAGGTATTGTCAGTGCTAAAAGGCTGACTAGAACAAGAAAACTCAACAAGTAAATCCACATGTGATTTCACAACTTCATTATTTACATTGATTTCTACTTCAAAGTTAAGAGAAAAAGATATGCTTAGATTCTGATTAATATTTTATGGTAATATAGTTGTCATACTGCTACTCTTTTTATAAAGCTAATTCTGAATGTTACTTTTCTGTTATTTCTTGTTACTTTTATACTCAGAAATGCACTCTGTTTTTGTACTTTCTTAATATTTATAACATACATTAAAATTAAATTATTCTCCTTGTCCATGTTTTAAAACAGCTTTTGGCTAAAAGTAATTTAATTCATATTCTAATAAACCAGTATTGAGCTCTTTGCCTATGATATACTTAAGAATGAAGCATCTAAATAAGCTTTATCTTCCGTCACTTTCTCTTACCCTTCATGCTAATAAGTAGGGATCTGGCTAAAAGGCAGACCCAAGAAGGATGATTTAAGCGTTTTTGACAAGACTTGTATTTTTTCATTTTAAAATATGCAGGTAAGAGCTCATTCCATTTAGCTTCAGTATACTCAAGCAATAAAAGCATTAGAAACACAAATAATTCATCAAGCCTTCTGCATATTTCAAATTCTTTAGCTGAGCATTTAGAACACTTGATTTGAACATAACTTACTGAAGATATGCCTGTACTGAAACTCAACGGGGAAACTTCCTAGACTTTTCTGTGACCCCAGCTTTGCTTATATCACTAAAACCTTTTCTGTTCAACTTCTGGAACTAGAGTTCTACTAATTTTTTTAAAAGGTGTTACCTAGGTGTTCCCTTTTAAGTATCTCCAATTTGTGTGTGTGTGTTTATGTGTGTGTATGTGTGTGCTATTTTCTTACTCATAGGGACACTCTACCATTTAAGGTACACCTCCAGCCTAGTACTTCTGCAGGTTAATTAGAGATATAGACTCATTTTAATTTTGTAGCTGATTCTGAACCTTGATGCTCAGATCTCAGCTTCATCAGTGGCTAGGATTACAACCATAAGCTACCAGAAGCTGGCTATCAATTAATTTTTTATATCAATCATTAGTAAATTTCAAGAACTCTACTAGGAACCAGATTCTTGATAAGCATTGGAAACTCTTGGCCTAATAAAGAATATCAAATTTGCTCTGAGATAAAGAGAGTCATATATGTTCTCTGCTTTACTTCAAAAATCAATTAGGGGGCTGGGAAGGTGGCTCAGTGGTAGAGCGCTTGCCTTGCATGCTCAAGGCCCTGGGTTCGATTCCTCAGCACCACATAAGAAAAAAGAAAAAAGCCGGAAGTGGCGCTGTGGCTCAAGTGGTAGAGCGCTAGCCTTGAGCTGAAGAGCTGAGGGACAGCGCCCAGACCCAGAGTTCAGGCCCCATGACCGGACCCCCCCAAAAAAAATCAATTAGGGAAAAGGGTTCATAAGTAGATGGAGGAGGGATAGAAAGTCAATACAGCCATGTGCAGATAGGAAGTTTAGGGTGTGTAGATGAGAAGCTTTGGAGACTTGAATAAACAGCAAGAGTAAATGAAGGATCCAGAGATAATTGTGGAATATTGCTTCATCATTTCTTTCCTTTGCCGTAGCTATCTTCCCTCAGGCTGACAGAGTTAATTGAGGTCACACGTAGTTCACTCTGTTCTCAGATATTTCTCCCCAATATCCCATCCTGTCTTTCTGAAAATAAAGGATCATACAAGCAGCATTTTTTATATGTTTCTGACTTCTAATAGAATTAAAATTCTCTGAACTAGTTTAAATAAGGATACTACTTTCATGGGGACACGATTAAGCTGTTTTTTATTCAGCATCTGTATATAACATCAAAATAAATATTTCACTTAAGCAAATATGGAA